TGTAAATAATACACAATTTCGATATTAAACTTAAGGTGTAGAATCGCTAAGATATTCAATACGAAAACATCTTTGAGCAACATTCCCATGTACCAAAATAAAGTCTACGCCTACAGGAATGTTTCTAATGGACACAAATAGTATTTATTGCCCAAGGTGAAAATATTAGTTGTACTTTTTCTCGAGATACGTAATTCCGCAGACGCAGAAAGCAGAACGCAGAAAATAATCCAATACTTTTTAGTACGCAAATAATTTTTCAATTTTCGTACCCCAACAAGCTGGCGCTTTGTTCCTCCAAAACCCCCTCTGTTCCTCATAACAAATCCAGGGAAGTTAAATAATATTGCTAAGAGTAGGGTTGTACATGCCCGATCCTGTATTTTCGCATGGAAAACTTTACATGGCTTTCTCAACAGTAAAAACTTTTTCTAATATTCTTGTGACTATCAAGGAAAACAAAAAGCTATCTGTCAAGGAAATTCAAATGTTTTTAAGGAAGTGTGAATTGCTCGAAGATCATATCTCTATGTTACTGAATAAAACTTTATTGAAAATTTGCATTGTTTTTAGTTTTGTTTGATATTCTGTAAGTACATTAGAAGCTACATTTATACATTTTTAACAAATAAACATGTGCCCTCTTCATGGAAACCTTCCTTCTTAATGGAAAATTTAGGGAAATGGAAAAGCAAGGGGTGGGAATTAACATGCGAGAGTTTTCGCACGGGTATGCTAGTAATCTGTATTTTAAACGCAAAAATACAATACGAATCAGGATGAATACTCCCCATTACCAACATCCGATTAGAGAAGAGGTCACTTTTGATAGATCGTGCTCTTAGGGTTAGTGAGTTCTAGCGATTGCCACTAGAGAATGCTAGTGTATAGTTTTAAGATTTTCCTCATTTAAGCGGTAATTTGAAGTTGCCTGCATGTATCGCAGGCGAATGTTTTGTTGGTTTTGTTTGATTGTTTGTTTTCTTTTCCCTGAGCCAACCCACTCCAAATGCGTAGGTAAGGGGTACGCTCTCATTTCGTAGGTCATTAATTTATGTAATTGGCCACTTGGCTTCTACTTTTGAAAAAAATCAAAATCAATATCAGAATATATATATATATATATATATATATATATATATATATATATATATATATATATATATGTATATATTTTGTGAAAAACGTTCAACAGCAATAAACCATCAACTACATTGGAAAAAAATTCAGAAGCTTACGAATCTTTTCTCGTACTTTTAAAACAACTCGTAACTGAGGGCAAACACAACGTCGATCATTTTCGAGCATTCATTTTTCATTAAGACATTGATCCAATATTCCGAATGGCCAATGATCGAGCAACAATACTGAAACAAACACGAATTGTTAAATTCTGAGGTGACCAATTTGTTTACAATTAAAAGGACGAAAAAAAATTATTAATTCAAACAAAAATACTCTAATTATGCACGTGTACCAGCGCCTAACCCTTTTAATTATTTAAATAAAAAAGTTTTTCCGCTTATTTTCCTCCATCTCAATTATATTCCACAATTTTTTCCGCTGTCGGCAAAATAACTTTTTTCGCGGTACGAGTTGAAAATGCACTGAAAACGGCGGGAATCTCTCCGCTCCGGCAACCTAATCGTGTCTTCCCGAACTGTACCGTCACTCGGACGCGTAACAGTTCAGCGCGGCATCTTTGAATACAGATATTAACAGATTAGTTTTAAAACTCCGAAAAGGAGGACAAGTAGGACACTTTGCGAGGAAGGACGGGACCTATAAAATGAGGACCGTCCTCTCTTAAAGAAGACGATTGGTCACCTTAGAATTCAATATAAGGAACGATTAAAGCTCGATAGGAGGGACTGTCTGACTCAAACCCCAAAACTAAGCGGAGAGATAGGAGACACGTACAGTAAAATTATTGTAATGTAATGTGGTAAATGCTGATTTTAATGTGAATGTAATTCGTTGGTGTCATTACACACCAGTTTAATACAGTTCCATTTAAATGTTTACTTACATATGTAAACATTTCATCTTCTGAATGCTTCCGTTTGCTAACGACCAGTGTATTAATTTGTAAGTTCATTCGAAAACGACATTGTGAGCAATATTATTCACGTCGTTGGAGGGAATAAAGGATCAACGCTATTCCAAAACCCTGCTGAGGTTCTCCGTTACGCTTCAAGATTTCGCCACCTGCTCCCTCTATGCGTGCAGCACAAGAGTTATACGTCGATGTTAACCGGTAATCCAAATAATCACCGGTAAATCCAAGTAATCACCGGTAAATTAACTAGATTGAAAAAAATACTCTTAAGCATAACAATCATTTCTCTCATTTTTAAAACAACTCGCATCTGTCGGCCCAAACACAACGCTAATAATATTCGAAAATGAATTTTCTTTAAGACTCAATATTTACATAATAATCTGAATGCCGAATGTTCGAGCAACAATATGTAGAGCCGAAGTCAGGATAAGGAACGATTTTTTTTAATTTGGTGCGTCTATACACGAAACGCGTCTCCTAGCTCCTAAGAGCGTTGAGCGCACATTAGAGTAATCTTCCGTTAATTACTTTTATAGGAGTAATCCTCCTTTATTACATAGCCAGCACCCCCTAGGGGCCGCTGGGTAGTCAAAGTCATGTCATGTCAGTCGCAGTAGGTAGCGATAGGTAGCGTCATCGCGCCCGTGTGTCGCACAGGATTAAAGCTAAGCAGAGGACATTGCATGATTCAAACCCCACAACTAAGCGGGGAGGACAACAAAATGATGGTAATGTCTTCATTCGAATGTTATGGCAGCATACGTTATGAATTAGTTTTGTTCTTGGTAAATGATGAATATAAATGGTAGGGAAATGATAATTACATTTCTTGTTATCGAAACAACTTCTCTGATACAATTTTTGTATTCTTCAATGCAATTTAATTGTTTACTTACACTTGTAAACACCATGCCACACACACCCATCTTGTCACAGCTTCCAATTGCTCATGGATCAGTATATTAATTAGCAAGTTCTTTGGAATACGACTTGTTCTACAATATTCTTCACGACGCTGGAGGAAATAAAGGAACATCGCTTGTTCAAAATACGTGATGTGGTTCTCGCTTACGCTTCAAGATTTCGCCACCTGTTCTCTCAAAGCTTGCAGCACACATTACTTTGGTGTGAATAATTAAATAATAATAACCATTGTATTGTTCGTAATTCCATGTGTTAATTTTAACAATCTAATTTTCATTGTGTATGAGATAATATTAATTTGCTTTTAATTATTATTACGATGCTCTCACTGAACTTATTTAAGAACGTTATTATGTGAACAATTGCTCACGAGTCAAAGAATAAATAACTAGTTTTACTTTCATTGTAATAAAAGAAGACCTTGACACAATATTATATTAATTTCCTGAAGGAGCCAAAGAAACGTTGACAATTAAATTGCACATTCGGTGCAAATGTAAAATAAATCCTGAGTCGTAGTTAAAACTGTTTCGTTTCCTTACAGCGTTATCTTTTTTTATCGTTTTCGCATTAAAATCACAAATGTTTATATCAATCGTATTTCAAGAATTGTTTGCTGGGAATATAAGATAAACTATCCCATTCTATTTTCTAACGTGTCCAAACAATATTCTCAGTTTGTGTAACCAATATTCTTAAGGCGGTTTCCACATATTGAGGATCGAACTCCTTCAGTCGTTCCAAATTGTCGGAATTTTCGAATTAAACCAATAACATGACCGGAAGATGACTCCTGAAAAACTACTAAAAAAATATGTCGTTCATAACCAACTCAGATGGCTCACAAATGGAATATGAAGTAGGAATATTAGTACATTTAGTACGGTGTTTGAATCCACACACTGTTCTCGTAAATTACTGGAAATATCACGTGGTTTATAATGCTATAAGTTGTTCTGGGGGGAAACGATGCGTCACTACAGTTTTAGAACATTAAATCAATTTTTACTTATCTGCATGTGTTGTCAATATTGTTGACTGAATGGAAAATATTTATTCATAAGTGATTTTGAAGACATACTATTGTCCGAGGCTTTTAACACATACATACGTATCCTCTGAGTCCGATTATTTACGCATTACAATTCTTTCAACTTTGTTCATCTCAATACATTTGCAAGGAATTAATAGATAATTTAGCAATGAAAAAGTTTCCTTTCTGTATCTTTTTGCTATGCAGATTTGTTTTTGGAATAGTCTGGTTTCTTAGCGCTACTTCAATCGTTCTTACTCTTTATCGACTTGCCCCTCCTCTCGCCTTGTGCCAAGCCCGGGAACGCTGAAAACAAGGCTAACAGGATGGGGACAAAAGGAGTCATGAAAAACGCTGTCAATTTTATATTTTATAATTAGTTTTTATATTTTGATGGAATGACGTTTGACAATGTACAGAAACATGTCACAATACTTTAGATTCACAGTCTTTCTAGTGGAGGTCAATACGTTAACGCGTCACTCATACTTCAGCTTCGTACGTCAGCACGGGACTGCTACAAAGCATTATCGAGAAAAATTAAGGGGGGAAATGGGGGGGAGGGGTTCTCACCTTAAAATTTGACTAGCCTCTGATCTAAATAGTTTGCGTGTGTTTCAACTAACCTTCGGGTTTTTTATATACATTACAATATTTACACTTAAGTCTTTTCACACAGGCCAGACTCGCGTCTCAAGGGGGGTGGGGGATTGGTCCATTTGCATTCGTTCAAAAAATTGACCGTCCAACGGCGTTTTTAGAAAACGAAGGAGCCTCTTCGGCACTTTCTTCCTCTCCGCGGAGCCGCGTCCAGAGCCGGGCCACGGCGCCGGAGAGGGCGTCCAGCCGACGCCCTTGCGCCGGCCA